TCTTGTGAATCGGTTTCTTCTCCTGTGTGGTTGATTTTGTTGCTATTTGTGTCTTTAAGGGGTTTTATTTTGTTGTTTCTTGCAGATTGCATTGGATCAGCTTTTAACATGAAGGGAGCCATGCAATGCCCTAACTGCCGGAATGTGGAAAAGGGACAGTGGTTGTTTGCAAATGGGTCTACTCGGCTGTATCCAGAGTTTGTCATGGAAGATTGGATCCCCGAAGAAGATTTGTACGGTTTAAGTTATCCGGAAATGGTAAAAGATCAGTACTTTGTGCAACGATATTCTTTCGTTTCGTGGACAATATGTGTTTTTATCATACAAGCCGTTTATTCTACGAACTCTGTGAGATCGGTAATCATAAAGAATTCCATGTTTGCAGCAATATCGGGTCCATTGGTGCCCATTTGGTGAACTCCCTCAAGCAGGTTCTTTTGAGTAAGTACCTTTACCATGATTATGCTATTATTCGCTCGCTTTGCTAATGTAAGGGAATGCTTGTCCTTAAAAAGTTGAAACTTGGTTCTAAAACAACCTTAAAGCTTGATTTCACTTACTTCATCATCTCCTTAAATATCTTTTTCCTTATTGTTTCTATGCTTTTACTCTGTGTTTCAGTGAAGTGGATACTGCAACCACTACATGTAAGTCAGACCCTGATTGATCGATTCTTCTCTATATGATCATTTCTTTTTGTCTGGCAACCGTTGATAATATCATACCACATTTTTCTCTGCTTCCTAGATCATAATGAGTTCCATGGACACCACGCCGCTGCTGCGAATCATTCATATCTTGCATACGTTGGACCGGGCCCAGTCACTACCCCGAGATCTAGCGATAACAACAACATAGAAGATCATCCCTGGAGCAGCCACTCTAGTGATCACTTTCACCAGCTTGCTGTTGCTCCCCAGTATCATCATCATCATTCCCCACCGTTTTCTCTACCCGGCGCTCATGTGGTTGATGGTGAAATTGACAATTCAGCAGTACGAGGCATATCTTATCCGCCTCCGTTTCTCTTCAGTCACCGGTTAGCTTCACGTTCTCCGTATGCTCTCAAAATTATTCAACTTTGGGAGGAAGTTTAAGAATATATTTTTGGATTTTTGGGCAATGTAGGTCTAATCCAAGAACACCACCAGCAATTCATGTTCACCAAGGAAGCAGCACCCAAGTGCGTGAACACGTTCACACGCAGCATCATGTATTTAATCATCAGAGGCAACATCATGCCAATGGTCCCAATCTCGCATCACCTCTCGTCCCCGTGACAAGAAGGGGATTACCACCACCGCCACCAATGCCAGATCAGAATGGCGGATTCTTCATTTATCCACCACCGAGCTCGTCAGGTGGACACCGAGAACCAGAAACCGATCAGTTTCATGCATGGGAGAGAGATTGGTTTCCACAGTTTCCTGTCCCGTCTAACCATCGCACGATCTCTAGCTTCTGGCACAGACACTTCTGAGAGAAGTTGAGTGACTAAACTCTGAAGTCGCCTGGAAGAATTCTATCAGGCTTATGAACAATGTATAAAAGAAAATTGGGGACTTGTTTGATCGATCAAAACTTGTTTATGATGTAACTATAACTGGTTTCCAATGTACATTGTGAGCTTCCCAAGAACCATTGTTAAACAGAAGATTCGATTGAATCTTGACAAAATTCGATCAGTTGAGTTATCCTTTGCTCTTTGGTTGGATGGAATCCTTATGTTAAAGTGAATAAATGTTTTCACATATTCATAATTCACGTGAAAAAAGTATGTCTCAAGGTATACATACACCAACTCAGGTAGAGACAATGCACATGAAAAGAAAGCAGAACATCATCACATAAAATGCAAACTGAGAAACGATCAAAGTGTTTAGAGATTCTGTTTGGAACGAACATACAAAATCTTCCATGAACCGTTGTTATTCTTGTCTGGAATCGGATGAAGATGCAAGCTTGGAGGAGAATTGTTGACTAGTGATGGGTATGAGTACCATCCCCGCCTTCTTCACCTTTCCTCGAGGCTGCTCTTAGTTTCCGCTGCTCTTCCTTGTATATCCTGTTTCTTCTTTGAAACTGCATCAGGTACACAAAGTATGAATAAACAACTGCTTAAACTATGCTCATTGCATGCTCATATCATGTAAAGAAACCCCTCAAAAACATTGTAACATCTAAAGAGAAGATATTGTCCATTTAGAGTCAAAGTGTAAGGCCAATATCTCAGCAAATGAGCTGATGCCATCTTAAATATGCAGCTGAGGGGTTCGAATAACAGAGAGCACAGTGCCATATCAAAGAAGGTTTGGAGCTGATACTAAGCTCAGTGATTGTGATGAAACCTTGTGTTGCTACACACTAATAATACCTCTGAGTTCGCAAATTCCATAACAAGAGGAGCCATGATTATGTATAAATTTCGAACAAAAACGGACCGAGTTTACGTTTTATTCGAACTGATTTAGGAATTTGGAATTACTCCAACTCTGTGAACTAGGACTGATTTAGGGTTTTCTTGAAACCGGAAACAGTGGCGAATCCGTAAAATCAATGCAATTTCTCCAAGCCAGTAACCGATTAAACACTAGAAGGAATCGGAAAAAGTCGTACCTCTTTGGAATGGTGGAGACACTCGAGGTAATCTTCACGAAGAAGTGTACAATCTTTGGGCTCTCTGCAATGAGACATACATTCACTGAAATCCATCCAGAAATCGTAACATCTCCCTTTGTTTCCAGTTATTCCCCATCCAGACGCCATTTTCCTCTCCGAAACCCAATCGAAACC